CGTCGTCGTCGTCGCCTGCCTCGCCGAACGAAAGGATGGTTGGGGTACGGGGAATTTCGTTTAGACGCGTAGGAAGAGTGTTAAAACAGCTGCGCTAATTGCTCTGCAAGCATCTGGTCTCGCTTCTTTCACGACGTCCACGTTTATTCCATCCATCAAACCGGCGAAAAGGTGGTCGTTATCTTCTTGGCTCTTTCGGTAAAGTCACGTAGAAGGGAAGTAATGAAATAATAAAAGTAAAACATAATAAAATAATTCTCACGACGTTTCGGCCACAACGCAAGCAGCCGTCCCTCAGGTGAAGAATGGATTATTTTATTATGTTTTATTTTTATTATTTTATTACTTCCCTTCTACGTGATGACTATACCGAAAGAACCAAGAAGATGAATCCCTGCAGTCACGAAAGCTTTAAATCGAAAGGTGGTCGTAACACCTCTTAAAACGATCTAAATAGGTGTTTTTTAAATCCTTTATATTAAGTTCGCTTGCTTGCTTGCTTGCGCGCTTACGACCGTGCAAATCTTTCGGTCGTTTTTAACCCACTTCCCGTGATCCAATCGAGCTGAAATTTTGCACACAGACTCGTTGTGTGTGACAATTTATTTTCGTGAAAATTTTTTTTCCAAAATTTTCCACTTTTTAGGAATCTTTTTTTAAATATTTAATTTTAAATACCAATGTGATAAAAATGAAACTCTTACTCAAGAAAACAGAAATGAATAATAAAATGAAACCGATGCCACGCATATAAAGGATTTATAGTGAAAAACTTAGTTTTTTACGGGTAAATTTTCGGTTGCTTTCTTTCGCCGGATAATTTCCATTGAGCGACGCGGCTCTATGTCAGGAGCAGTCCGACTGCCACGAACGATCGCTCAACGAAGCGGCCGATCACCGTCGCGTGGAAATTGACGGCAGCGGCCAAACATTCTGAACGCGTGACGTCGAGTTCTAAATACGGAGAGGCTGAACAGAAGGTACCCAGAGAACAATCCACGCGACCACGGGGAGAGAGAGACACACGCAAACTCCAAATATACAGCAGCAGGCGTCGTCAGGGTCGGGATCGAACCCACGACCTCCTGTAGACCGGGCGAGGTAGTTAACATCTCCTAGCCACCGTGATGATGATAATGAGAGAGAGAGAGACACGCAAACTCCAAATATACAGCAGCAGGCGTCGTCAGGGTCGGGATCGAACCCACGACCTCCTGTTAGACCGGGCGAGGTAGTTAACATCTCCTAGCCACCGTGATGATGATGAGAGAGAGAGACACGCAAACTCCAAATATACAGCAGCAGGCGTCGTCAGGGTCGGAGTCGAACCCACGACCTCCTGTACACCAGGCGAGGTAGTTAACATCTCCTAGCCACCGTCATGATGATGAGAAAGAGAGACACGCAAACTCCTAATATACAGCAAGCGGATCGGGATTGAACCCAAAATTAGTCTTGCTGTGGATTTTACACCTGATGATGATTGCTTGTGTTGCAGTCGAAAACGTCGTGAGAATTTTATTGTTTTAATATATTTATTATTCTATTGTTTTCCTTCTACGTGACCAAGAATATGTTTTAATAATAGTTTTAGTTACAGCTAACTAAACCTAAAAAACATTTCTAAAATAACCACTCGCGGTCTAAGCAGCGACACCGCAAGCACATCCCCGCTGTCAAAGGCCGCGGGGCCAAACTTGCTCCAGCGATTGGTGAGAGAAAAGACGAGTTTTCAAAGTATCCAGGCCGGGTTCACCGCGAAATACCAAAACACATCAGCGAGCACCGACACACTTTTAATTGGCCTCATTTGTTCCCGGCGAAATAACGACGACGACGAACCTGCACGGCATTCTCGGGGAGGAGAAAGTGAAATTAAAGTTCTAGAATTCCTGCTGAATTGGAAATCATCCTAAACGAGTTTGTGAACTTAAAAAGGCTGAGCATTCGTATTGAGGAATAGCGTTCAAACGCCAGCAGTCGTTGACTCTGATGGGGGGGGGGGTACGGTGAAAATAAATGGATGTGGCGTGAAATCCGGGTGAAGAGTAACACGCGTGTGCACGCGCATGTACGCACACACACGCGCGCACACACATGTACGCACACACACGCGCACGCTCACTCACTTATTCACCTGCTCAGCCACTCACTCACCTGCTTACCCACTCACTCACCCACTTGCTCATTCTCTCACTCACTCACCCACTCACTCAACTGCTCACCCACTCACTCACTCACCCACTTGCTCACCCACTTACTCACTCACTCACTCTCTCACTCACTCACTCACCCACTTGCTCACTCACCCATTCACTCACTCACTCACCCAGTTGCTCATTCTCTCACTCACCCACTCACTCACCTTCTCACCCACTTACTCACTCACTCAGTCACCCACTCACTCGCTAGCATGTTCACACTCATTATGTAACTCGCTCGCTCACCCAAGTCTACCCCCTTGCTCACCCGCTCACTCACCCTCTCACTCGCCCACACTCACTCTCTCACTGACTCTCTCACCCGCTCACTCACTCTCTCACTGACACTCTCTCACTCTCTCACTGACTCTCTCACTCGCTCAATAACTAGCTCACTCACTCTCTCACCCGCTCACTCACCCACCCACCCGCTCCCTCACCCACCCTCTCACCCTCTCACTCGTCCCGCTCACTCACTCACCCGCTCACCCGCTCACTCACTCACCCTCTCACTCTCTCACCCGCTCACTCTCTCACTCTCTCACTCACACTCTCACTCTCTCACCCGCTCACTCACTCGCTCACTCACTCACTCTCTCGCCCCACCACGCGCTAACTCACTCACTCACTCTCTCACTCACTCTCTCACCCGCCTCACTCACTCTCTCACCCGCTCACTCGCCCTCTCACTCTCTCACTCACTCCCTCTCCACTCTCTCACCCGCTCACTCACTCGCTCACTCACTCACTCTCTCGCCCCACCCACGCGCTAACTCACTCACTCACTCTCTCACCCGCTCACTCACTTGCCCTCTCACTCTCTCACTCTCTCACCCGCTCACTCACTCGCTCACTCACTCGCTCACTCACTCACTCTCTCGCCCCACCCACGCGCTAACTCACTCACTCACTCTCTCACTCACTCTCTCACCCGCTCACTCACTCTCTCACCCGCTCACTCGCCCTCTCACTCTCTCACTCACTCTCTCACCCGCTCACTCACTCGCTCACTCACTCACTCTCTCGCCCCACCCACGCGCTAACTCACTCACTCACTCTCTCACCCGCTCACTCACTTGCCCTCTCACTCTCTCACCCGCTCACTCACTCTCTCACTCACTCACACTCACTCTCACCCGCTCACTCACTCTCTCACCCGCTCACTCACTCGCTCTCTCGCCCCACCACGCGCTCACTCACTCACTCACTCTCTCGCTCTCTCACTCACTTGCCCTCTCACTCTCTCACTCACACTCTCACTCTCTCACCCGCTCACTCACTCTCTCACTCACTCACACTCACTCTCACCCGCTCACTCACTCTCTCACCCGCTCACTCACTCGCTCTCTCGCCCCACCCACGCGCTAACTCACTCACTCACTCTCTCACCCGCTCACTCACTTGCCCTCTCACTCTCTCACTCACACTCTCACTCTCTCACCCGCTCACTCACTCGCTCACTCACTCACTCTCTCGCCCCACCCACGCGCTAACTCACTCACTCACTCTCTCACTCACTCTCTCACCCGCTCACTCACTCTCTCACCCGCTCACTCGCCCTCTCACTCTCTCACTCACTCTCTCACCCGCTCACTCACTCGCTCACTCACTCACTCTCTCGCCCCACCCACGCACTAACTCACTCACTCACTCTCTCACCCGCTCACTCACTTGCCCTCTCACTCTCTCACCCGCTCACTCACTCTCTCACTCACTCACACTCACTCTCACCCGCTCACTCACTCTCTCACCCGCTCACTCACTCGCTCTCTCGCCCCACCCACGCGCTCACTCACTCACTCACCCACTTGCTCACTCACCCATTCACTCACGCACTCACTCACCCAGTTGCTCATTCTCTCACTCACCCACTCACTCACCTTCTCACCCACTTACTCACTCACTCAGTCACCCACTCACTCGCTAGCATGTTCACACTCATTATGTAACTCGCTCGCTCACCCAAGTCTACCCCCTTGCTCACCCGCTCACTCACCCTCTCACTCGCCCACTCGCTCTCACTCACTCTCTCACTGACTCTCTCACCCGCTCACTCACTCTCTCACTGACACTCTCTCACTCTCTCACTGACTCTCTCACTCGCTCATTAACTAGCTCACTCACTCTCTCACCCGCTCACTCACCACCCACCCGCTCCCTCACCCACCCTCTCACCCTCTCACTCGTCCCGCTCACTCACTCACCCGCTCACCCGCTCACTCACTCACCCCTCTCCACTCTCTCACCCGCTCACTCTCTCACTCTCTCACTCACACTCTCACTCTCTCACCCGCTCACTCACTCGCTCACTCACTCACTCTCTCGCCCCACCCACGCGCTAACTCACTCACTCACTCACTCTCTCACTCACTCTCTCACCCGCTCACTCACTCTCTCACCCGCTCACTCGCCCTCTCACTCTCTCACTCACTCTCTCACTCTCTCACCCGCTCCACTCACTCGCTCACTCACTCACTCTCTCGCCCCACCCACGCGCTAACTCACTCACTCACTCTCTCACCCGCTCACTCACTTGCCCTCTCACTCTCTCACCCGCTCACTCACTCTCTCACTCACTCACACTCACTCTCACCCGCTCACTCACTCTCTCACCCGCTCACTCACTCGCTCTCTCGCCCCACCCACGCGCTCACTCACTCACTCACTCTCTCGCTCTCTCACCCGCCCTCTCACTCACTCACCCTCTCACCCACTCACTGACTCTCTCACCCGCTCACCCTCTCACCCACTCACTGACTCTCTCACCCGCTCACCCTCTCACTCGCCCCGCTCACTCACCGTCCAGGGACAGGGCCTCCATCTTGGGGTTGAGGAAGTCGAACAGCGTGCTAGGGGCCGATGGCCGCCCCCCGCCCGCCGCTCCCGGCGCGTCGTCGTCGCCCGTCGCCTCGCGGCGACCTCGGCCGCGACCACGAGATCGTCCGCCGAACCCCCCACGGTCTGTGAGCACACAAAGACAGCCCCCCCCCCCAACGCTGCGTTAACACACAAACTTTCAGAGCCAACACCCCCCCCCCACCACCATCCATCCAACCCAAACTTTACCGGTGGCTGGGAGATGTGATGATGATGAGAGAGAGAGAGAGAGACACGCAAACTGAAATATACAGAAGGCAAAAGGGTCCAATATACAGCAGGCGTCAGGGTCAGGATTGAACCCACGACCTCCTGCCTACCAGGCGAGGGTAGTTAACATCTCCTAGCCACCGTGATGATGATGAGAGAGAGAGACACGCAAACTCCAAATATACAGCAGGCGTCAGTGTTGGGATCGAACCCACGAACTCCTGCATACCAGGCGAGGTAGTTAACATCTCCTAGCCACCGTGATGATGAGAGAGAGAGAGACACGCAAACTCCAAATATACAGCAGGCGTCAGCGTCAGGATTTAACCCACGACCTCCTGTATACCAGGCGAGGTAGTTAACATCTCCTAGCCACCGTGATGATGATGAGAGAGTGACACGCAAACTCCAAATATACAGCAGCAGGCGTCAGGGTCGGGATCGAACCCACGACCTCCTGTGTACCAGGCGAGGAGGTCATGGGTTCAATCCTGACCCTGACGCCTGCTGCTGTATATTTGGAGTTCGCGTGTCTCTCTCTCTCCTCGTGGTCTTCTGCGTCTCATGACATTATCACCCCCCCTCCCTCAGTCCAATCTCGCGTGACGTCATGCCGGTGTGCGTCACAGACACAGACAATGATCCCCCCTATAGCCTTAACAGACTGTAGGGGCAAGTGCTGCTAGCGAGCGCCTACGAAGGCCGGCACGGCACACGAGGGGGTGGGTGGCCAGCACCACGCCCGACCGCCTTTGTCTCCCCAGTGTCGATCTTTTACACACCGCACCCAGGTACTAATTTTAGGCCGAGTCAACCTAGAGGAGGCCCAGATAATCTTCAGCGGGTGTCGGCCGCGAGCGGGAATCGAACTCGGGTTGCCGGGTTCGTAGCGCGGCGTAGCGCTAACCGCTACACCCACCGCTCCCCACGGATGGCGCGGAATCGCACGTGAAGATGCAACGCGGTGTGGTAAAAAATTAACCCGTAAAAACAAAGTTTTTCACTCTAAATCCTTTATATGCGTGGCGGCTAGAGTTCTCTCGTCCTCTGGCTTGAGATGGCTGCCACCTATGGGTCAGATGATTGTCTGCCACCATTAAGCAATTGGTAATTAAATATTTAAAAAAAATTTCCCTAAACAGTGTAAAATTTTGCAATTTTTTTTCACCAAAAATTAATTGTCACGCACAACGAGTTTGTGTGCAAAATGTCAGCTCGATTGGATCACGGGAAGTGGGTTAAAAAAAGGACCGAAAGATTTGCACGGTCGTAAGCAAGCAAGCACGCAAGCAAGCAAATGAACTTAATATAAAGGATTAAAAACCGGCGACAGGAGGCCGAGCTGGCTGGTGGGGGTGGTAAACACATAAATAACGCTCGGCTCGGCTCGGCGAGCGAGCGAGCTTAGCCTTCCCAGCTGCTTTCAAAGTTTCTTGGGCATTTCTCATTCCGACGAAAAGTGAGCGGAGCCCCAGCTACGCTCAGAACGTTTAAAGCTTCGCCGTTGCATCGTCGTCGTCTGCGTCTTCATCGCCGAAGACTCACACAGAGACCCGTAGACTCGCATAGAGACCCGTGGACTCACGTAGAGACCCGTAGACTCACATAGAGACCGTAGACTCACATAGAGACCCGTAGACTCGCATAGAGACCCGTAGACTCACATAGAGACCCGTAGACTCACATAGAGAACCGTAGACTTACATAGAGAACCGTAGACTCGCATAGAGACCCATAGACTCACATAGAGACCCATAGACACACGCAGAGACCCATAGACTCACACAGAGACCCATAGACTCACGCAGAGACCCATAGACTCACGCAGAGACCCATAGACTCACGCAGAGACCCATAGACTCGCATAGAGACCTGTAGACTCACATAGAGACCCGTAGACTCACACAGAGACCCGTAGACTCACACAGAGACCCATAGACTCGCATAGAGACCGTAGACTCACATAGAGACCCGTAGACTCGCATAGAGACCCGTAGACTCACATAGAGACCCGTAGACTCACACAGAGACCCGTGGACTCACGTAGAGACCCGTAGACTCACATAGAGACCGTAGACTCACATAGAGACCCGTAGACTCGCATAGAGACCCGTAGACTCACATAGAGACCCGTAGACTCACATAGAGAACCGTAGACTTACATAGAGAACCGTAGACTCGCATAGAGACCCATAGACTCACACAGAGACCCATAGACTCACGCAGAGACCCATAGACTCACGCAGAGACCCATAGACTCACGCAGAGACCCATAGACTTGCATAGAGACCTGTAGACTCACATAGAGACCCGTAGACTCACACAGAGACCCATAGACTCACGCAGAGACCCATAGACTCGCATAGAGACCCGTAGACTCGCATAGAGACCCATAGACTCACACAGAGACCCATAGACTCGCATAGAGACCCATAGACTCACACAGAGACCCATAGACTCACACAGAGACCCGTAGACTCACACAGAGACCCATAGACTCACACAGAGACTCATAGACTCACACTGAGACCCATAGGCTCACACAGAGACCTATATACCCACACAGAGACCCATAGACTCACACAGAGACCCATAGACTCACACAGAGACCCGTAGACTCACACAGAGACCCATAGACTCACACAGAGACCCATAGACTCACACAGAGACCCATAGACTCACACAGAGACCCGTAGACTCACACAGAGACCAGTAGACTCACATAGAGACCCGTAGACTCACACAGAGACCCATAGACTCACGCAGAGACCCATAGACTCGCATAGAGACCCGTAGACTCGCATAGAGACCCATAGACTCACACAGAGACCCATAGACTCGCATAGAGGACCCATAGACTCACACAGAGACCCATAGACTCACACAGAGACCCGTAGACTCACATAGAGACCCGTAGACTCAGCACACAGAGACCCGTAGACTCACATAGACCCCATAGACTCACATAGAGACCCATAGACTCACTCAGAGACCCGTAGACTCACGCAGAGACCCATAGACTCACATAGAGACCCATAGACTCACTTAGAGACCCATAGACTCACATAGAGACCCATAGACTCACTCAGAGACCCGTAGACTCACATAGAGACCCATAGACTCACATAGAGACCCATAGACTCACTCAGAGACCCATAGACTCACATAGAGACCCATAGACACACGCAGAGACCCATAGACTCACACAGAGACCCATAGACTCACGCAGAGACCCATAGACTCACGCAGAGACCCATAGACTCACGCAGAGACCCATAGACTCGCATAGAGACCTGTAGACTCACATAGAGACCCGTAGACTCACACAGAGACCCATAGATTCGCATAGAGACCCATAGACTCACACAGAGACCCATAGACTCATACAGAGACCCGTAGACTCACATAGAGACCCGTAGACTCAGCACACAGAGACCCGTAGACTCACATAGAGACCCATAGACTCACATAGAGACCCATAGACTCACTCAGAGGCCGTAGACTCACACAGAGACCCATAGACTCACATAGAGACCCATAGACTCACATAGAGACCCATAGACTCACTCAGAGACCCATAGACTCACTCAGAGACCCGTAGACTCACACAGAGACCCATAGACTCACATAGAGACCCATAGACTCACATAGAGACCCATAGACTCACATAGAGACCCATAGACTCACTCAGAGACCCGTAGACTCACACAGAGACCCATAGACTCACACAGAGACCCGTAGACTCACACAGAGACCCATAGACTCACACAGAGACCCATAGACTCACACAGAGACCCGTAGACTCACACAGAGACCAGTAGACTCACATAGAGACCCGTAGACTCACACAGAGACCCATAGACTCACGCAGAGACCCATAGACTCGCATAGAGACCCGTAGACTCGCATAGAGACCCATAGACTCACACAGAGACCCATAGACTCGCATAGAGACCCATAGACTCACACAGAGACCCATAGACTCACACAGAGACCCGTAGACTCACATAGAGACCCGTAGACTCAGCACACAGAGACCCGTAGACTCACATAGAGACCCATAGACTCACATAGAGACCCATAGACTCACTCAGAGACCCGTAGACTCACGCAGAGACCCATAGACTCACATAGAGACCCATAGACTCACTCAGAGACCCATAGACTCACATAGAGACCCATAGACTCACACAGAGACCCATAGACTCACGTAGAGACCCATAGACTCACGTAGAGACCCATAGACTCACACAGAGACCCATAGACTCACATAGAGACCATAGACTCACATAGAGACCCATAGACACACGCAGAGACCTATAGACTCACGTAGAGACCCATAGACTCACGCAGAGACCCATAGACTCACGCAGAGACCCATAGACTCACGCAGAGACCCATAGACTCGCATAGAGACCTGTAGACTCACATAGAGACCCGTAGACTCACACAGAGACCCATAGATTCGCATAGAGACCCATAGACTCACACAGAGACCCATAGACTCACACAGAGACCCGTAGACTCACATAGAGACCCGTAGACTCAGCACACAGAGACCCGTAGACTCACATAGAGACCCATAGACTCACATAGAGACCCATAGACTCACTCAGAGGCCCGTAGACTCACACAGAGACCCATAGACTCACATAGAGACCCATAGACTCACATAGAGACCCATAGACTCACTCAGAGACCCATAGACTCACTCAGAGACCCGTAGACTCACACAGAGACCCATAGACTCACATAGAGACCCATAGACTCACATAGAGACCCATAGACTCACATAGAGACCCATAGACTCACTCAGAGACCCGTAGACTCACACAGAGACCCATAGACTCGCATAGAGACCCGTAGACTCACACAGAGACCAGTAGACTCACATAGAGACCCGTAGACTCACACAGAGACCCATAGACTCGCATAGAGACCCGTAGACTCACACAGAGACCCATAGACTCGCATAGAGACCCGTAGACTCACATAGAGACCCATAGACTCACATAGAGACCCGTAGACTCAGCACACAGAGACCCGTAGACTCACATAGAGACCCATAGACTCACATAGAGACCCATAGACTCACTCAGAGACCCGTAGACTCACGCAACGGGGAGGGGGGCGGAGGGGAGGGTTGAGAAGTGAAGAGGAATAATAAACAATAATAAAACAGTCATCAACTCCTCGCCATTAGGACGCTAATGGGTTTCCGCCGCGCGAGGCAGTTTGCCTTCTAATGACTCGGCTACGATTCCTCGCCAACACGCAGAGCGCTCCTCTTCTCAGAACAGCTTGGCTGCACAGGACGCAGCAGCAGCAGTAGCAGCAGCAGCAACAGTAGCAGCAGTAGCAGCAGCAGTAGCAACAGCAGCAGTAGCAGCAGCAGCAGTAGCAGCAGCAGTAGCAGCAGTAGCAGCAGTAGCAGCAGCAGTAGCAGCAGTAGCAGCAGTAGCAGCAGCAGTAGCAGTAGCAGCAGCAGTAGCAGTAGCAGCAGCAGTAGCAGCAGTAGCAGCAGTAGTAGTAGCAACAGCAGTAACAGCAGTAGCAACAGTAGCAACAACAGCAGCAGTAGCAACAGCAGCAGCAGTAGCAGCAGTAGCAGCAGCAGCAGTAGCAACAGCAGCAGTAGCAGCAGTAGTAGTAGCAACAGCAGTAACAGCAGTAGCAACAGTAGCAACAACAGCAGCAGTAGCAACAGCAGCAGCAGTAGCAGCAGTAGTAGTCGCAGTAACAACAGCAGCAGTAGCAGTAGCAACAGCAGTAACAGCAGTAGCAACAGTAGCAACAACAGCAGCAGTAGCAACAGCAGCAGCAGTAGCAGCAGCAGTAGTCACAGTAACAACAGCAGCAGTAGCAGCAGTAGTAGTAGCAACAGTAGCAACAACAGCAACAGCAGCAGTAGCAACAGCAGCAGCAGCAGTAGCAACAGCAGCAGTAGCAGCAGCAGTAGTAGCAGCAGTAGCAGCAGCAGTAGCAGCAGCAGTAGCAAGCAGCAGCAGTAGCACAGAGCAGCAGTAGCAACACCAGCAGCAGTAGTAGCAGTAACAGCAGCAGCAGCAGTAGAAGCAGCAGTAGCAACAGCAGCAGCAGTAGTAGCAGCAGCAGTAGTAGCAGCAGCAGTAACAACAGTAGCAGCAGTAGCAGCAGCAGCAGTAGTAGCAGCAGCAGTAACAACAGCAACAGCAGCAGCAGTAACAACAGCAACAGCAGTAGCAGCAGTGTCTGGGAGGGAGGGGAGCGCTCGTTAATTCTGTTGCCACGGCTCTCGTTGTTCTCCAATTAAAAAAAATATATTTACAAAAAAAAACCCTCTAATGGGCGATCGTTAAAACAATTGGTGATGAGCACCGTACTCAGCCAGCCGGAGGAGGAGGAGGACTTCTATTAACGGCCCTCTAGTGCCGACTGCCCCGGTGCCAACGCCTGGCACAGCGGAATGACGCGTCGGTCGGTCGTGCGGACGGGACGGCTGTGTTACAGAGACAGATCAAGCGAGGGGCTCACGGACACACACCACACACACACCGCACTCAGCCAGCCAGAGGAGGACTTCTATTAACGGACCCTCTAGTGCCGACTGCCCCGGTGCCAACGCCTGGCACAGCGGAATGACGCGTCGGTCGGTCGGGTCGGACGGACGGACAGGACGGCTGTGTTACAGAGACAGATCAAGCGCGGGGCTCACGGACACACACCACACACACACCGCACTCAGCCAGCCAGAGGAGGACTTCTATTAACGGATCCTCTAGTGCCGACTGCCCCGGTGCCAACGCCTGGCACAGCGGATTGACGCGTCGGTCGGTCGGTCGGTCGGACGGACGGACAGGACGGCTGTGTTACAGAGACAGATCAAGCGTGGGGCTCACGTACACACACCACACACACACACCGCACTCAGCCAGCCAGAGGAGGACTTCTATTAACAGACCCTCTAGTGCCGACTGCCCCGGTGCCAACGCCTGGCACAGCGGAATGACACTGTCGGTCGGTCGTACGGGACGGGACGGCTGTGTTACAGAGACAGATCAAGCGCGGGGCTCACATACACACACCACACACACACCGCACTCAGCCAGCTAGAGGAGGACTTCTATTAACGGCCCTCTAGTGCCGACTGCCCCGGTGCCAACGCCTGGCACAGCGGAATGACGCGTCGGTCGGTCGTACGGGACGGGACGGCTGTGTTACAGAGACAGATCAAGCGCGGGGCTCACGGACACACACCACACACACACCGCACTCAGCCAGCCGGAGGAAGACTTCTATTAACGGCCCTCTAGTGCCGACTGCCCCGGTACCAACGCCTGGCACAGCGGAATGACGCGTCGGTCGGTCGTGCGGACGGACGGGACGGCTGTGTTACAGAGACAGATCAAGCGCGGGGCTCACGGACACACACCACACACACACACACCGCACTCAGCCAGCCAGAGGAGGACTTCTATTAACGGCCTCTAGTGCCGACTGCCCCGGTGCCAACGCCTGGCACAGCGGAATGACGCGTCGGTCGGTCGTACGGGACGGGACGGCTGTGTTACAGAGACAGATCAAGCGCGGGGCTCACGGACACACACCACACACACACCGCACTCAGCCAGCCGGAGGAAGACTTCTATTAACGGCCCTCTAGTGCCGACTGCCCCGGTACCAACGCCTGGCACAGCGGAATGACGCGTCGGTCGGTCGTGCGGACGGACGGGACGGGACGGCTGTGTTACAGAGACAGATCAAGCGCGGGGCTCACGGACACACACCACACACACACACACCGCACTCAGCCAGCCAGAGGAGGACTTCTATTAACGGCCTCTAGTGCCGACTGCCCCGGTGCCAACGCCTGGCACAGCGGAATGACGCGTCGGTGGGTGGGTCGGTCGGGTGCACGGACAGACACAGATCAAGCGCGGGGCTCACGGACGCGCTCGGCCTAATAAGCTCTCTCGGAGAGTACGGCGCGCTTCAAAAAGCGAGCGTCGAAAGGCAAATTTGAATGATCGCGGAGGGGAAAAAATTAACCCGTAAAAACAAAGTTTTTCACTATAAATCCTTTATATGCGTGGCGGCTAGAGTCCTCTCGTCCTCTGGCTTGAGATGGCTGCCACCTATGGGTCAGATGATCGCCTGCCACCATTAAGCATTGGTAATTAAATATAAAAAAAAAAATTCCTAAAAAGTGTAAAATTTTGGAATTATTTTCACGAAAATAATTGTCACGCACAACGAGTCTGTGTGCAAAATGTCAGCTCGATTGGATCACGGGAAGTGGGTTAAAAAACGACCGAAAGGTTTGCACGGTCGTAAGCACGCAAGCAAGCGAGCAAGTGAACTTAATATAAAGGATTTAAAAAAGGGTCAATGGCGCGACCGGCGTTTATTCTTGGAGCTTCGCTTTCCGAAACCTCCCCCCCCGCCCCCCACCGCCAGCCCCCCACCTCGGCCACTGGCCGCGATATTTTCGTGTCACTGCGTCCGCTAATTGCCTCCGACTGCGTCCCTTGAGCCGTAGACATCCCCCCCGCGGACATGTTTATTGTCGCGCGTTCAACGACACGGAGCGAGCGCTCGCGTCAACGCTGACGGCGTTAAGATAGTGCGGCATCACGGCGGAGGGAAAGAATCAAGAAGAAGAAAAGAAAACAACGACGCCGTGCGATATCCGCAAATAGCTGCTGCTGCCAGCTGTGCCACGTCACGTGCCATTAACCCTTTCCCGTTCCGATGAAGTACCAGTACGCACGTACACGTACACGTCATCAGTGTATGTACGTCATCAGTACGTCATCAGCAGGCGTACGTCACAGCAAGTAACGATTCTGTCGCCGGTACGTCTTCAGTTTCGAACAAAGTAGCGAGGCCCCAACACAGTCTGTTGAAGGCTTTACGGGGAAATCTTTGGTTTATTGTATGATAAAAATAATGTATATATACGCACGCAAGTAATACATCGTATTAAGGCATCAGCACCGATGGAATGAGCGCACGATCGTTAACAATCATAAACGGCCACGACCTCTCCACTGCTGGATTTGAGGTCTTTGAACAAAGTCTCCGACCCTCGGAGAGCACAGAAGCACAGCACGAGAAGGGAGGGGGGGGGGCTGGGGGTGTGGGGGGGCGGCACTCCGGGCGCGATCGCAGGGTGACGAAGCAGACGAACTCGCGACACGGCACGGGCGTAGCGCCGGCGGCGGTCAATATCTCATTTTGCGGTGAGCGCCACGCGGAGTTGTGGTGCTGTGGGAAAGCCCAGGCGGGGGCCGCTGTGTGGTTATCGCGGTTCGTGCACAGCCCCACACACCACACCACACACACACCACACACACACCCCACACACATACACACACCACACACACACCACACACACACCACACACACACCACACACACACACCACCACAACACCACACACCACACACCACACACACACACACACACCCACAACACCACACACACACCACACACACACACCACACACACACCACACACACACCACACACACACTACATACACCACACACACCACACACCACACCACACACACACACACACACACCACCACACACACCAAACAACCACACACACCACACACACACCACACACCACACCAAACACAACACACACCAACATACACCACACACACACACACCACACACACCCACACACACACCACACACACACACCACACACACCACACACACACCACACACCACCACACACACACACCACACACACAACAAACACACACCACACACACACCACACCACACACACACACACACCACCACACACACACCACACACCACACACACACACAACACCACACCACACACACCACACACACACACCACACACACACCACACACCCACACCAACACACCACACACCACCACACACACACACACACACACCACACACACACCACACACACACCACACACACACACACACCACCACACACACACCAACACACACACCACACACACTACACACACCACCACACACCACACACACACACCACACACACCACACACACAAACACCACACACCACACACACCAAACACCACCCACACCACACACACACACAACACACACACACACCACAAACACACACACCACACACCACACACACACACACCCACACACACACCACCACACACCACACAACACACACACCACACCACACACACACACACACACACACACACACACCACACACACACCACACACACCACACACACCACACACACACAACACACACACACACACACACACACCACACACACACCACCACACACACACCACCACACACACACCACCACATCACACCACACACACACACACACACCACACACACACACACCCCACACACCCCACACACCCCACACACCCATACACACCCCACACACCCCCCCCCCCACACACCCACACACCCCACACACCCCCCCCACCCCCCACCCCCCACACACCCCACCCAACCAACCCACCCGCCCGCCACCTTCCACACCACAGCCGCTAACGTGCGGATTAATGTCAAACGGGGCTCCGAGGGCCGCAGCGGATAACCAGAGTGGACGCGCGGAAAACAAGGAGGGGCGGGTCGTCAATATCAATTTGCAACTTCAGAAATGTGCCGAAATGTGCAAACGCTCACGTTATTAAACCCCCGACGGGAAGCCAGCCGCTTTAATAGAGAGCCCACGGGCTACGGCGTGATTAATCAGAG